GTCCGAAACTTCTTGCGCGAAAAGGTGGTGCTTGCTAGTGACGTGCAACATGATCTGGGCAAAACAAAAAGAGCTGAGGTGGCGTGAATAGTAAGCTGATCCTCCAAATACCGCAGGTTTAGAAGCAAGAAAGTGACCATTTTGAATCTTATTGCCTTATTTCGATGGACGCACACCACACTGAAATTGGTTCTTCATGATCCACTATGAAACTACATATATGTAGTCGGGGAAAAGAAAGAGCTGTGCGCGAGTCCTATAGCAAATACCGGACCGTATCCTGATTTCCGAGCTTTTCTGAATTTTTCACATTTTTCACAATCCAAATATGCGTTACGTTTTAATGGCCGTTATTTGATGATCTGGTTTTTTCTAAGTGACCAATTTGGTTGATTTGGGAAAAGTGTGTTGCTGTTTCAGGTGAAGGTTTCGTAAAGTTCAACTCGTGACGTTTTGATACTGCTATCACCATCTCATCTACAGTGTTGGAAGTATTATAGATTAATTCGGAAATAAAAATTTATGACTAGCAAGATTTATTACATCTACTGACAACAGAATAATGCACCATCTATGCTCACGTAAATACCATTTGACAGCGGAATATTTGCTCTTTACTCAATTTTCAATGCAATGAAATCGCGTGTGATCATCCTTTAAAATAAAAGGATTTCGATTCCTATCCGACTGCGTGGTGGCTTTGCCCAGAAATTCCCTTCTATTTGATAGTTTTTCCATTACTTCAGCGTACAATGTGTTCTCATAGTTTCTGTTCCGTGCCAACAAGGCGACTGAACTTGACACACCAACCGCGCATTACTCCTTTGAAATCGAGCGATTTTTTGGACCTAAAGGCACATTCCACGGTATCGAGATGGATAGATGAATTCACAAACATGAGTGACTACTAACCAGGAAAGGCATTCAACTTCCCATGGAACTTTGAGATGAGACCCAGATATATCGATAGAGCTTCAAACGCTGATTACAAATATGGAAGCTAAAACTGCAAAATGAACCTGCCAAGGAAGTTGTGAGCAGTCAAAGTTGCTAATGTAAAGCGTTACATATGAACCGTGCTATGTTCCAGGCTTTCAATGTCGCTCACGGAGTAGCGATAGTGCCCCCGCTCTTCCCGGGAGGTCATAAGTTCTCTTCCTGTTGAAGTGCAAACTTTGAGAGCATTCCCACTACTCCATGGCGACTCTGCATAGATTGAGCTAGCACGTTAGTGCGTAAAGTTTTTGGAGCAAACTTTCCCGACTTGACTGCTCACAACTTCCTCGGCAGGTTCATTTTGCAGTTTTAGTTTCCATATTTGTAATCAGCGTTTGAAGCTCTATCGATATATCTGGGTCTCATCTCGAAAGTTCCATGGGAAGTTGAATGCCTTTCCTGGTAAGTGTCAATGAGGAAAAGACAAAGCGAAAAGATTGCTCATTGTCAATCCATTCTTGGATGTATTGTGCGACGCCCGGCCAAAAGAATCTTCAAGAAGAAACTCACCTTCCACATAGAGCTACGTGGCTCAAGGTAACTAGATCGATTTCTACCCGCATATCGATGTAGGTCCTCTTTTGAGCACTCCCAATGATCATCGTGTGCTTTTTCTAAAAACGAAAAGTCAGCAGAACATACAGTGAAGAAGGGAAGGGAAACGGCTCAAACGTTAAAATTACTGGCTTTCTCGTGCTTGTAGTAGGTGTGACGAGAGTACGGAATATCCCGCGACATCAGAGGGATTAATCAATCTACCCTTATCGTGGTCTGTTTCTTTGACCCACATTGTACGAAAAATGAAAATTGCAAATGAATTATGAATTGGTCTTCATTTAAAATTAAAAATTGGGCGTTAGATGGTGGACGAGTGAAGAAAAAGCTGCGAAGAGCGGGTAAGCAAAAGAGCTTGCTCGTCGATATCTGCTGTGGTTCAGATTTTAGTCGGATTTACCTCACCGTCAAACGATCATTGGCCGGTCCATCACCTGAGGTTGGAGGTCCTCGAAAGGGGTCGTCATCACGGATCATTTTATGAAACAAATTACGTTCAATCAATATTATATTTATAATACTTTCTGTAGATCTAGACGCCGGAAACTATTATATTTGGTAGTCAGAACTTGCAGGAAACGCCAAATTAATAGAGAACATTTCCCTGCTGTCCCTGTTTTGAACTCCCGCATTAGTTTTGATTTCCCGGAATAAGTTCTCCCGAAAGGGCTTGTCTTCAGAGACATAGAGATGTGGTAAAGATATTTATTACATCAAATTCTATCATAATAATCAATGCTTCTCTGAGTACTGGCGCAAACATTTCGTTATCTCAGATACAGACTTCCTTTGTGGTGGATTCGTTTCCCTTGTCATTGTATCCCTTTCACTGCGTCGTATGTACCATCTGTTTTTAACGAATTTTCGACAATGTTACCCGACTCCAGGCTACATTTTTTTCTGCTACGTGGGACTATGTATGTCACCCGATGCCGTGCGACACCCTGTTTCAATGCGCTGATTTCTTTTTGTTCTCTTCAGTCGTTCTTCTTATATGCCCACTATTATTTACTCGCACTATGTATTCTATTGATTTCATTTTCTGTAACAATTCAAAACGAACAGTAAAGGCAAGCCCCGGATTGAACTAGGTGCTATCAGCGCTTCGTAGTGATAGCTTAGCTGCGGAACGACCTGAAAGTGGGAAGGAAAGCAAGAGAAATCTTTGGAACGCTGAAATTAAGGCCTTAACCTTCAATAAGGTCGGATGTGGTACGATGGCGAGACAGGGCGGTCAAAGAAGACAAAATACGCGAGAGAGCACGCGTTCGAGAGAGCACGCTGATCTCACCATCTCTCGCGGTGGGTGGGAAGCGTTGCAACGGGGTCGATGGTTGCAGGCCCGTAAGGATTAGCGCCCTAACCGCGCAATTTTTGCGACGAAGCTGGAGTGATCTAGGTAGGTACGGACCTTACAATTTCCCTCGTGGTATCCCTCCTACTAGTCGGGCTAATCCCGGGGTTTGCCTTTAAACCACAGCACAGCATAAAAAGTGGCGCCAAGAAGTGATTCGTCTGTACAGGAGAAGGAGGAGTAATAAAGTATTAATTTGAAACATGACGCTTACCACCAAAGTTTTCCTTGCGCGCGGTTCCAATGTTAGTGGAAATTTTACGGCTAAATATTGCTTGGCTGTCCCTTTTCTTTGCTTTAGTCAGAAGCAGCCTTCCTCCACTGCTCTCAGCGTCTACGGAATATAACGTCGCCTGCCATCGCTTCGCGCTTAGGAGCCCTACCGCAGTTGCTCCAACCTGAAGCTGCAACACAATTATTCAATCGTTTGACTTATGGATAACTGCTTACAAGGGAGGTCTTTCAGGGCAAGCCACGCTTTTTCAAAACGGTTTCTTGCATATTGTAGGGACGCATGTAGGGAACACAAAACCATGTTTCATTTTCGCTGAACGGTTTTAGCAGTACCAAAAAGAAGCATAAGGTACTGTTAATGGTTCGATCCCCCGTGGCGACTAAATTTTGCATTTGGGTTGGCGCCTACGGTTGGTGCCAAATCGCGCTAAATGTCAAAATCAGATGTCATATTCATCGTCAGGACCATTTTGCCAACAAGTGGCCGCCAACCTTGATTGCAAAATTTAGTCGCCGCGGGGGATCGAACCATCAAGAGTATCATTCACCACTTTTTTGGTACTACTAAAACCGTTCAGCGAAAACGAAACATGGTTTTGTGGTCCATACATGCGTCCCTACAATATGCAAGAAACGTTACAAAAGAGCTGAAAGACCTTATTGGACAAGTAGCTGCGAATACGCAGGCCCTTCCGACTAGCGTTTGAAATAATGTCGTGATGGTCCACAATCCGTGGGGCTCCACCTTGAGCTCGACCGCGCATCATGTTTCCGTGGGGAACTCTTCTGTTATGGCCCGCATAAAGGTCATTACGAAGTTTCTATAGATTAGAATGTGCTCTTTACTGTTCAGTTGGGATCGTTCGGCAAAGTGTTAGTTCCCTTCTAACTGTGGAGGGAGAATGACCTTTTAATTGCGCCCCACCTCCCGTATGGAGTTATATTGTGATAGGATAAGGTCCCTTTGGGTGCTGTTAGCTACATACTGTTCCAGCACAGCTTCCAGCCGAGGACATCTGGGTTTGAGTCATTTATGGAATCTGGAGCGAGCAACAGAGATTTTGCGAACTCATTTCAGGACTTTCAATTGGACCATGGGTAGCATTTCTGTTTTGTTTGAATGCAGTCAGTAAGGAAATCAACTTCAGTTATCGTCGCTTTTGTTGGTGGTGCAGACGACACTATTCAACTATTACAACCACAAAATCTCGAAAATTTTATTTTTCGTCGAAACCTTGCCCATGGAGGGGTTCGACGCCTCTCTTACTGAAATGACGTTGATTTTTAACGTTGGCGCAATCTTTTGTCCCAACGCTTGTTTTCAACAAAGTCGGCGGGAACCTCTGTGTGGGTCTACTTGGAGTCCTGACGACTATGACAGTCGGTTTTGGCACGAGTTCTGTTGATACATATTTTCCGTTCTCCTGGCCTCTCTCAGTCATGCATAGTACCTAAGACCAAGCTCAAGGGGGAGGGGGATCTGGGATGGATGAACCGCCCACCGTGTTGCAAAAGTTGAAGCGTATAAGAAAAGCCCTCCTCCCCCAGGGGCTCGATCCTGAATGCAATCGAAAGTGAAATCACGATCAATAAATATTTATTATACTCTCTTAGCTCTAGGCACCGGTAAATATTTTGTAGTCAGAAAACGCAGGAAACGCCACATTGAATCATTGAGAACATTTCCTTGCTGTCCCTGTTCTGAACTCCCGCATCAATTTTGATTTCCCGAAAGAAACTGTCCTGAAAAAGGTTTCCGTCAGAGACATAAAGACAATTAGTCATTATTATACATATGACAAGCTATTTTTTACAACAACTTCGAAACTCAATTATAAGAAATGCATACCTTTAATGAGTGTCATGATACTTCTGTGACGCTGTCCTCGTCTATATCATACCGTAGGTTCTCTATATCCACGCTATCGTAAGCTTTCAAGAGCCTCCTAGAAATTAGTTTTATACTTTTTAGCTAGTGTACGTGACCACAGTAGATGCGGAAATTAGTGGGAAGGGCGCAATGCAGTTCATGCTCCTCCGCGCCATTAGGAAAATTTTGTGCAGAGATCATAATTTTTCAACGATCGCGATCAAAAGTAGTTGTATTAGCATTCGGCAGAAGCTTATACTTCACAGTGAGCTCAGAATAAGTACTTCAGCCGACAGGGTGTTCCGGAGATGCTTCTTTTAGTTGAAGCTGTTAGCTCAACGGAGGGCGATTTTTTGCCTACACTCACCTGCGTCGCCTGGCGGTGGCAATTGCCACACTATCCAAAATAAATTTGAATTTTCCGCTTACAGCTGCAACAGCATATTTCTACTACCCTCTTGTAGAGGTTACGGCAGACAACTTTCCCCTTCCTATTCAAACCCGCCATTTTATTGCGTGCTGCTGTCAGCATCACAAGTATTTGTGTATAAGTACAACAATGAATCGGCTTTGGTCCCCACAATCTGCCAGGGCAGTGTCAGTCATTTCTAAAATACTTGGCGTATATTTTCTTATGAAAAACATTCGATATCATTTTTCGACTTAATTTTGTTTGTTAACTGCTGTTTTTGGCCGCAGTTCGCGGCGAAAGTTTTGTTTACAACCCAGCATTCTTGTGAAACATTAGATATAATGTTGTGCAAGATCATAAACTTTTTCGACATATCTAAGAAACTTGGAATTGTTTCGAAATGAGCTAAAAAAATTAAGAAGCTGTGCCAATTTCTAAAGCTTCCTAGTTTCTCACTTCGAATAGCTTCCAAATTTCGCTATAATGATATTTGTGAGACTCACAAGTAATAAACAATAGCTAAACCTGATTTTTTCCCACGAAAAAAAATTAAGTCCGAAAGGGTTAGCTATGATTGGGCAACAAGAACTCTGGATCCAACGTTACTGATGGAGGTCTTATATTGAAGTTTTCGGAATCTGAATTTGATCTCAAAGTCCTTTCTGAGCCATAGATACGATTCAAGTTTGCTTGAAAGAGAAAGCAAATTTGCGAAATGGGGAAGTTTTGACAGATTCTGCATTGGGTAGCACTTTTGCGTTATCGTTTAACAGATGCGCCCGGGCAGCAGGTTATCAGGCTACGATGGCAAGCGCGAGAGTTCATGTTCCCAGCAACTTTGAATTTATTGCTCTAAATGGATTGAGCCAAAACCAGAAACTCCAGGGAATCCAAAACGTCTTATGGTTTTAACTGATATTATAATTTTCAAAATTAACTGGATAAGCACTAGGGGGACGGGTGGGAGGATGTTGCACAGCTGCGGGACTGCAGCTCCTTGAAGATATTGGTAAGTGAGATGGCACTACAATGTACAACCAAAAGCGTGAAGTGATAATCTTCAAAGCACTTACCTCAACTCTAGATATCGTGCTATACCATTTTTCTCCGCGGTCAACTTGAGTTTCTCCAAATCTCTAAAAATATGATTGTCTGCAGTGAGGTAACATAAAACTCACACACACTTTTTTGAGCGATTTTTCCGATTACAAAGTGGTATTACGCAATGTGTGAACTAGAATAGAATCACTAAGAATCTTCCCAGCAACCCAGGTTGCCATCTAATGTATCTACTTAAAGCATACACAAGGATCAAAGTGAGAGGTTTCTAAGTAAGGTCGTTTCCTTTGAAGGAAAAATTTTCTCTTAAAGGACGAATTCACGATGAAAAAGCAACCCATTTCAAATTAACCTAGGGATGGTGAGTGGTACACGAAAGAAGGAAGAACCATGAGAAACGGCCCAGAACCCGAGAAATGGTACCCCTTCCTTGCCCGTTGATTCGAGCATTGATGCGACTCTCATCGCTGTGCCCTCTTCAACACTACGCTCTCTCAGCTATCTAATCACTCGCCACGTATTGAACTACGGCGAGTGATCAGATGATCGGTGGGCGGAGATCGCCGGACCCGCCAGCTTTGAGGCATGATAGGTCGCCGAGGTCAAATTTTTCCATGCGAATTGCGCGTCAGTTCGCACCCTCAGGAGGTCCGTGGGTCCCTCAACTAGGTCAGTTTCCCTTTCTTCGACCTTCATTCTAATCGTGAAATTCCTCCTTTAAGGTAAATAACCACGGCCTCAGCGATCAGAAAGAAAGCAATAGGAAGACATTCGTGTAGAATAATGGATTCAGCGGAAACAGTCTTCAATTTGAAACCCACTATGGCTTAGCGGTTAACCAGAAAAACCAGAAAAACTAATTTCCAAAAGAAAGTTTAGAAGCGGACGTGGCTAAGGAAGATATGTACATACACCATTGCTCGATTCTCCCTGAAAGATAGTTAGAGCTAGAGTTATCTGTCGGTCTGACTAGATATCCGCAACTGGACCTCTCATTCACTTGCCTAGAATTCATTGCGAATTTAGGAGCAAAACATTATTTTGTTTTTGCTCAATTTTATTATTATTATATTCATGTGCCTTAAATGTGAACAATAGCTAAATAAATAAATGAATAGACAAACATACTCTTTTTTATTTTTGTACAGCAGATAAATTTCTTTCGACTGATACATAACCGATAAAAAATGTGTGATTTTCAGCTAGAAATTCCTATTTGAGAAAAGGGGAAGACCAGCCTTGATGGCACGTCCCACTTTAGAATCTGCCATAGCCAGGAATAGAGACTGGGAGAGTACGTAAGTGAAAAGACGCAACGACAAGAGAGCCAGACGAAACACCCTGCTGCGGATTAGAAGCAGTGAGCTGTTGTTGCAATGTTAATCGCGCCTATTCGGGTTTTTCGACGCAGGGAGTGCCCACACTGGCATTGATCTCCCCATGAGTTTAACCTAAGTTCACCCAAATTCTGCTTGGTAGACCTGGGACAATAAAAATTTCTAAGAGTTCTTGTTTTCCTGCTATCCCCTTCCGCTGTGAGGTATTGGCCGAAGGAACATTTGATTTCAACAGAAGCTTCTCTTTCAGGTAGGCTCACCTTCTATAAGAGATTATACAGTATGTGATCAGAACTTGAACGACCTACGTAGAAAATGAATACCGTCCAGAAGACATCGTGGCGACGCATCGTTAGACAATATTCTTCGTTGCTCTGCAAAGCCCATTTATGCTGATTAAGCAACATCCTCAGTAATTAACAATATGTTTTAACCAAATAAGGCAAATAAATGAGCTAGTGATTCGTTTATTTATTCGTTACTCCGCAAAACTATTCAAAGGTTTTGGATCAAGCATTTGCCTTTGAAGGGCTATTCGCCCCTACGCAAACCAGCCTGATATAAACAGCTAATCAACCGAGGATGTGCGGGTGACACATAGGTGACTTATTAAAACTAGGTTGGAGAACTGTTCCTCTGAACAGCCGCGCGCTAACAGCGCCACATAGCATTGCCAGATCTCTCCCTCTCACTGCCCTCCTTTGTATCAAAATACTACATTAGTTCGGTGTGTCAGTAGTTAAACTTCTTCAGACACGATTATTGCAAATGTGTGCCCGCCGGTGGCCACACTTTCGCTGCGTGGCGGACAATGCTCTTAGGGGTTAAAAGTTTTTTTTGGCATTTTATGTTCAAAACTACAGAACTTTCATTCAGCACGATTATTGCAAAATTTACAATGATGTTGGGTCATGAGCAAAACTTCCGCCCAGGCGGGACTTACAACCATAGTTGCAAAGATGTTCAAGCGCTTTTAACCCTTTGACGACCGTGTGGCCCGCCGGTGGGCCACACTTTCGCTCGGTGGCGACACGTTTTTAGGGGTTTATTTTGGCATTTTTTATGTTTCAAAACTACACAAATACATCATCGAATTCGCGGAATAATGCGCTAATTACTAATAGTGAAATTGTTGGAGAGTTAATGATTATTGATGAAAAAATTTAGAAAGAAGTGAAGTGACGCATTCATAACGGCGGTCGTCAAAGGGTTAAAGCAGCACGGAGTCATAGCGTTCCAAGAGCTAGAATCTCTCACATTGCGAAAGAGGGTACTCGCCAAACGCAGGAGGCTCGACCTTGTCGCCGGCTTCTAAACAGCGGCGAGCCCAACACTGCCGGCTTAAGGCTTGACGTTGTGTGGTACCGGTGCTGCCATCCTTGGTTACGCGAAACGGCGTGGCGTCTGCGCCCTCTCATGCGTACATGTGGCTCTCGCCGTTCTCCCCTCTCTTCGCAGGCACTGTGTCTCTCCGTCATATCACGTCCGGCCTCACAAGGGAATTCCAATGTTTTTTTATGGCACTTTTGGTTTCTCTGCAGTTCTTACCTAATTTTTGAACAAAATAACGCGAACTCGATCCCGGCTGGTGCCTCTAACACACTGATGATACCATGACCGCATGTGTCAGATTTTGTAAGATTATTCCAAAACTGTCTGGATACTATCTCATCCGGCAAACAGTGCATCAATAAGTAGCAGTTAATTTGAAGGATATAATGGATGACTGTGAAAAGAATAAACAAAAGGTTGTAGAATTTAGTTACACGCACAAAGTCTACCTACCCCAACTATTCACTAATCTTTTTGGCTCACTTGATCTGTGTTGGTTTTCGCGAAACATTGTCTTGGATTCTTCGTTGTAACCCCAATTCACTCCATGTGCTCGCACAATAAACCCATCCAACAACGAACAAACCAACTCTAGCCAAAAAAATTTAAATATTTTTTAAAATAATATATGGATATGAATATAAAGCATGAATTAATTTATTTCAAACGTGCAAACAAATTGACTGCTGCGAACATTTTTTCAGTCGTGGCCAATTTGTCTAGTGGCCATTTCAGACTGGGTAAATTGGTATGAATTTTCGGGGAAACAGTAGTTCAAAGGTGCATGCATTCTGCAACATTCCGAAGCCGGCTTCATCGAAAGTGATGTAGAATAATGAATGGCGCCGAAATTCCCTGGCCAACAATTCGGAAGAGCTATAATTTTCTGAGAAACGCGGGCCAAAAAAATTGAGAAGTGGATTTCTCCTTCAGGGGGACTGCTTTACACCCAGAAATGTGAACTGCCCAGTTTCATTTCCACTTCCAGAGCTTTTGCAAGAATTTCTTATCGCGTCTTTCGAGTGCACAAGTCAGCCCTACTATATCGCTGTAGTGCTTCGATGTTTTGCAATGCAGGAATGGTAAGTGTCAGTTCCGTTTCTCTACGTTCGTGAACACCCTGTTGCACTATTCGCATCACTTCAATATACTCCTTCAACAGTTTAATTCTTCTGTGGATAAGCAAGGTTGATACATAGTTGGGACCTTTATGGAATGGCCTGACGTTTCGACCTTTTCATCTTCTTCAGAGGCCATGGAAACTATTCCTTCAACAGATTTTCGTGGCATCGCTGGAGAAAAGAACTTTGAACTATCCCAAATTCTCTCTAACGATTACTGTACCTTCGTGTTCATTGGTCCTCAAAACGTCTATAAGCGTATCCACAGTGTAGCTTTGTAGTAATCGTTCTCAGAAAAGAGCAATAGCAACACAACACAAAACTTAAGTAGGCCTGTATGTATGAAGCTGGTACCAACCTTTTCATGCGCGGTGGTAGTGTCCGTTGAACTTGCCGTGGAGGTTGTTGGTACATCCATCGAGGCAGAATCTAAAAAGAATTGTATTTTCCAAGAATGAATTTTGTTTCAGCAATATTGTCGCAACCAAAAATTACTGCGATTCAATAAAGGGCAAACAATAAGATTTCACTGACATAGTAAAAAGCAATATCTGTCAATTCTGTGTGAGCTCAGACTACACATACTTTCCTTCGAATAATGTCAAGATTGAGCTGGTAACGCACTATATCCGTTCCTAGTAAACCGGAGATTATTTGTCTGCCCGCTATAATTTTGTAAGAGTTCCTCCACAAGCTTGTAACTGTTGCTTGAAAATTCATCTCCAAAGTCACATTTGAGATGGTTAGGAGGACGAGCCCGGCTACACGTAGCAGGCATGGGCCGTAGGAAACTCCGCCCACGGTGGTGGGCGGGTGCATTTATCCAAACAGGTGATGCTAGCGACAACCTCTCAAATTTGTTTCCAGAGCATCCCAGAAACTAGGAAAAATGGGTGGAGATGTGTGCCGAGTTGGGGGATATCATAGTATCATACTATACCAGTTCGGCTTCCGCACGCTTCCACGCCTATTGAGCAGTGGCGTCAGTGAAGCTGTACAACCTGTAAACCAAGCCATCAGCACGGGCATTTCACAGTTATTTTACTACCGGATATGTTACTGTATGATTTTATTTATTACAGGTTGCCCAGTTTCACTGACACCACTACTCAATGCGCTCGGTAGCGTGCGGAGCCGAAATGGTTTATAAAAAATGGTGCATAGAATAAAAGACAAGGATCAATAGTAACACTATGGTAAGTGAAACAAATGTATAGTATAAAAGTATATAAAGGATAAAAGGATAAAGCATTTGCCGTTGATCAATCCCTTTTTGGGATGCGGCACGCATTCTACTTCCATTTGTACATTCGTAGTGGCGTTTGAATGCGATGTGGCCTATACAATGACTTGCGGGGGCCAGCCGATGTACAAGTCAGTGTTTTTATCCTCCCAGACAAGTCTGGTACCAATTAACCGACCCCGGAGGGATGGAAGGCTTGGTTGGCCCGGGCGACTCACGACCCAGGATTTGATCCCCGGACCGCTCGCGTGGTAAGCGTGCCACTTGTCACTACACCACTTCCGCCCTATAGAAGGATACATAGTGCAAAAATATGACATATAAAATATAGACATGGAAGACGGTGTGCACAGATAGTACATAAAAACACCCCTATGAAATGATAACAGCTGATACGCCCATTAGTGGGCATTGATTCGTTCTGAATGGCTGATAAAAACTTTGGTCTTTCAGAAACTTTCGGCAATCCTTCGAAAATCAGAGGATGTACTGTGTAAGTGGAATGGATATTGGTCTTTGCTCTCCAAAAAAATGCTCAAGAACCGATTTTTAGAAGCTCACTGCAAAACAATTCAGAATATTTCTGACTAGAAGGGTAACTATGCATGGTGAAATCGTGAATTTTGCGAATTATTTGCAAAATTGGCTTTGAAATAAATATTAAGCTTAGTATAATAAACACATTATTCCGAGCACAGATTCGAACGACACGAGATTTCGAAGAATGACACCGATATAGATAGGAATAGATTGGCTAGGAGTGAAACTCTACAGGTTGTGGAACATGAGAAAGTCCAGCCATTCATACCATCAACGAAGGCAGGGTTTCTGTGTGTTTATACAGGCGCATCAACATTTAACCGCAGAGAGTGTGTCAGAGAAACGTTTGTTAGGTTTTTTCACTAAACACATGATTGAGTCGCAGAGTTTGGTGTGACTCAGCTGATGAAAGAATGATGCAAGAAGAGATTTGTGTCGATATGCCACCTTCTCTAAGAGACCTTCAAAAAAGCGCTTCATTAGGGCCTTCACTGCAAAGCTATTAGAAAATGCGGAACATCTGACCAGGAAATGCTTTGAACTTCCCATGGAACTTTGGAAGGAGACCTAGATATATCGATAGAGTCTTGAACGCTGATTACAAATATGGACACTAAAACTGCTACGTGAACTTCCTAAGAAAGTTATGAGCCTTCAAAGTTGGCAAAAAACGTTACTGAGGCGAGCTTACCTGGTGGAATCACAGTCGCCGTGGCTCTGCGCCAAAAACGAGTCTCATATTCGTAATCAGGGCACCCATTTACCCTTATAGAACAAGTTCCAGGCAAAAAGCAACCGTGTTTCCACATAGGTTGCAAATCACCTTTTGCAACTTGAGGGCTCATAACTTTCTTACAAAGTTCACGTAGCAGTTTTAGTGTCCATATTTGTAATCAGCGTCCAAGACTCTATCGATGTTCCTAGGTCTCCCTTCAAAGTTTCGTGGGAGTTCCGAAACATTCCCTGGTGGAACTCTAAGTACAGTCCATATCCGGCAGACAGGGTGGGCGGGGCCATATACGTGATTATGGACTACACAAACTTGATATACTGTTCTGTTGAATAAGTAGAGTAGTGCTAGAGAATACTAGAATACAGCAGAACATCAGAATAATAGTAGAAATCAACGAATATAAATCAGCTGTTCGCTGCGACAACTATCAAGTTTGTGTAGTCCGCAATCACGTATATGGCCCCGCCCCACCCTGTCTGCCGGATATGGACTGTAGCTCGCAATGGTTCACAAATCCAACTAATACTCGAATCGTACATGCGTTCTTTCCTATTTTTTGATATCACCCAGCCGTGTTCTAAAAAGAAGGGCTTTTTCTGCGTTAGCGAGATTTGAAATAGTTGCGTGTAAATTGGTCGTATGTAACGAGTTTGAGCCACACACAGAGTTTCGTTGAGCTAACACGCCTTCACCTACATGGCTTGAAACCGCAGAGCTAATGTCAGTATCGCGGGTAAGAAGTGCGCGACAAAGGCTTCCGGGCCTTGTCGATAGTCTCTTGATTGCTAGAATTTTGTTCAGGAATACGATGACCACGAAGAAGCAAAAAAAACATCACTTTCGCTGCGGAAAATAAAAATAAAATGAGAATGAAGGAATTGTTTGTAGGGTCCGTGGAACTTCTGCCAAATTAAAGAATCTTGGCAGTTTGTAAGCCACGTTAGTTATTGGTATGTGATGTATGACTATGCCCTATGCAATGAACTCAAAAAACTTGGGAAGACGTCGGCATGTGTGGAAAAAATAATGTAATGGGCGTGGCACACATATTTACCACAGCGACCGACGTGGTGCGGAAATGGTGGCATACTTTGTTGCCGCGATGTCGTCAATATGTCAACCTTCGCGTCCAGCACCCCGCTGTACTCTCTCACTCATTCTCTCTCCTCGATGCGCTGTTTCTCGTCGTTGCAGCACTCCCCCACCTTGCAGTAAAGAGAGCTTCAAAATTAAGGATTCCTTTAGGATTTTTACATCAATCTTCACTGGCAGCTTCTCCACCGAATACTTTCGCTCCCAGGAATAAATCACAAGTGTTGATCATAGGATGTGCTGTGAGCAATTGAGCACTCGCCTGCTTTATAAAAAATATAACAAATTATCTATTATTCGGGTTCCTACAGTGTTACCCGCACCCTGAAAATGCTCAGACAGCGTTAGAAAAAAAAACTATCCTGCTACTTCCGTAAAAGCATTATTGCGCCGGCAGAAGGATAGCTATATAGGATACTTCCATGGTAATTTATAACAAGTAAACGAGGCAAGTGATATAACAGCTGATAAGTGATTAAAAAACTCTTAGTGTGAATATGAAGCATTGGCGAAAAACAGGTACGCTCACCTTGGTCAGGTGTTGCGCACAAGAGCACAGAAGATTGGAAAGTTATCAAAAGCACGAGTCGGATAAGACGGTCTTCTTCTACTCATGTGGTTGAGACCGCAACTGGAGGGGTGGCGCCACACCTCTGACTCGAAAGACGGGGCAATAACGCCCCCAGCCCAGTATATATTCTGAGCTATGGCTGGCAGGCATTATCTATGACCGTCACCCGCTATAGGCGTATTCGTGGTAGTATGGCTCCCGCGCGAGATACATAGCCTTTCATTCAAGCCAAATCCCATCTCAAAACGATTTATGAGTACCAGTATGTAACGGCATCAATGCGTATGTTGGTTTGAAGCCCACAGGTTCGAGAAACCTGACCGGACACCCACATGCGAGGGGTATTCGCTGCTGTGGAGAATGAAAGAGATTTACCTTCTTGTGCTTTGCTAGTGGGTCTTTGCCGTTTTTCCTTCCCTAGAGCTATAATCCACATTTCTGCTGTTGCGCTCGGGCGCTACAGCACCCCTACTTGCTTCCAATGAAGTGCTTCATCGATCCACTTGGGACATGGTAAGCGGTCGAATTTATTCAACATCGGGAAGGTATTTGATTTCTCACCTATTGGAATCAAAGTAAGTTCAGACCGTGTTGGTCATGGATTTAGAGCTCTTGTTTGGATTCAGTAGCAGATCCTTCGTGCATTTTGTCTATACTAAGCGCCAATAATGTAGGAGGTGGAGGAGGGCACACACGTCAGATTGGCCTCGCGTGCGATGGCGGATTCCCTCGACGGCGAACGCTGCTCCATTTTTGGATCGCTGCACCGATTTTGGGTCGCTGCCCTGGAGAGCCAAGAAGCCTCATTGACTGTAAGCGCTCGCTCGTGCTAGCACAGCCACCCAGAGGCTTGAAACTGCGTCCCTGGCCCTACGGCGTACCATCCTCTTTTCCTGAGCTTATGAGATTGCGCTACATCCTTCAAACCCTGCACCATCTCATCCCCCAGAGAGCTAAGAAAAACGTTCATCTGAAAGCGATGTCAGTAAATATTCTGGTCACATTCAAAGCATATAAGCGGCAGAATGTTTGCACTGCACGATGCATGCAGGAGCAGAGGAGATAGTAATCCGTGTTGTTCTGGCCTGTTTTGTAGGCCAAGAAATTGGCAGAAATACAAAAGGCGATAGCTATAGTTAAGTAGTCTCAAAATCCCAATAATAAAAAAAGAAATAATAAAGAAAGATCAAAAACAAGTTCATACGATTGAGAGCAAAAAAGGAGTTACCATTTTTGTTGAAGTTGTGAGTTACAAAGAAACACATGAGTTAGGAAGTCGATCAGCTTTGAATCATTAAAGTATGTGAAGAAGTATCGTAAAATATATGCTAAAGCGACAAGGCAGCGGACCTTCAGCCACATTGCGATTAGCGATTTGCGATTGGTATAGGAAAAGGGCACGGTTTCGATTAGGCGTACGCAAGAGGCCGTATTAGACGAATCGCTCGATGGGCGCAGCAACAAATCAATACGTATCCTTCTCTTATCGGCTTTCGTTTTGAATCATCTCCTAATCGCCGAGTCTGCCTAATCGATAATTTAGCCAAAAAATCTGTACGTAACAGAAATTTTTGGCGAAATTCAGAGAGAATACCCGATGCCTGGAATGCTTTGAGAATTACTTCTCTCTAAAACAAATTTTTTTGATAACAAGAGTGGTTAGAGGGAGGAATTCCGAGAGAAGGCACGTTCATTCTGAAAAGAAATGATTATCGGGAGGAGGTTAATCAGGGTGAACTGTCCGTTGGGCAAAATCCAACGAGGGGCCATTCGGCCGATGAAAAGGGAGGGGGGATCGTGAAATTTTTGGGATTGTCCAACGTAAAACGGTTGACCCTGTGTCTACTTGTCGGCTCTTCTTTTGAAACAGATCTTGCAACAATTGTACCTCTCACCAAGAAGTAGTGGAGAAGGATATCAAAATCATAGGAGTAATTCACAAGAGTGGCGAGATTTGAGCAAAACCTTGACGAGCGGGACTCAAACCGATACCGATTGCTACAAGCAAACAGTTGTCAAAACATGATTTACAGCCGAGAGCGAATGGGTATCAAGGGAGTGGTGGAATTTGCATGCGATCAAACAATTAGCCGCGGAGGATTGCCTTGTTCTTTTTTGCACTTATGGCCGAATTTGTCGCGTCTCTCGCGGTTCGTAATTTATCGCTCCCTGGACCAATATCGGAAAGATATCCATGACCTCGAATTTCTGGGGCTTCACCTCACTTCGGCTCTTTGGAGAACCAATCATGAACAGAAAAGGTACTGGCGAAAATTTTTCCAAACCCGTTTCGTATAACTTCGTATAATGTATGTACGTCATAAACTGTAACGCTCCTTATTTCGAATATTTACATGCAAATTCAAAGGGTAGGCACCAAGCAGAGATAAATCAAATGAGGACGGTTATGGCTGAAATTGTTCAGCCTGACAGCGGTATCTAAGTGGAGCATCGGCTGTGAATCACCGGTGTGGGGGCAAAAAGGGGATGAGGTGCTCGTCAGTGCATGATTTGGCATGCACTTGCGCTCTCCAACACACTCGTCTCCTAAAACAAACACCGGTGTTCGATTGCCGACGGCAAACAGTAGCGAAGCCACCGAGTTTCGGGCGTCATGTGTTTTTTGGTCAATCCCAAAACTCCATGAAAGGCAGAAAGCGACTGGCAACAGGTTGTACAGGGGGGTGAGTCATGTACCCGTCTTAGATAGTACTTACAGTCGTCGCTATGAGAGTAGAGCCTGAACCTCTGTGAAAATCAGATGTTTACAGTAGTTTTTTTGTCGCAGTTTCCTCATTTTTCATTCACTTTAGAGGCCGTCGAATTGGTGTGTTACTTTGGTAGAAAATTGGACGAAAAGATCATTGTGAACTTTTTTGGACCTTACGAGGTTGTTTGGTAGAACATTCATTTCAATGGC